TGCTCATGGCTAGCTGACGGATCTGGCTGCTCATGGCTAGCTGACGGATCTGGCTGCTCATGGCTGGCTGACGGATCTGGCTGCTCATGGCTGGCTGACGGATCTGGCTGCTCATGGCTGGCTGACGGATCTGGCTGCTCATGGCTGGCTGACGGATCTGGCTGCTCATGGCTGGCTGACGGATCTGGCTGCTCATGGCTGGCTGACGGATCTGGCTGCTCATGGCTGGCTGACGGATCTGGCTGCTCATGGCTAGCTGACGGATCTGGCTGCTCATGGCTAGCTGACGGATCTGGCTGCTCATGGCTGGCTGACGGATCTGGCTGCTCATGGCTGGCTGACGGATCTGGCTGCTCATGGCTGGCTGACGGATCTGGCTGCTCATGGCTGGCGGAAGGCTCTGGCTGATCCTGTCTGGCGGAAGGCTCTGGCTGATCCTGTCTGGCAGAAGGCTCTGGCTGATCCTGTCTGGCAGAAGGCTCTAGCGGCTCCGGTCTGGCGGACGGCTCTGATGGCTCATGGCAGACGGGCGGCTTTGCAGGCTTTGGGCAGACGGGCAGTTCAGGCCCCGTTGGGCAGACGGCAGACTCTGGCCGTCTGAGGCGCATCGTAGGCCTGGTGCGTGGTGCCGGAACAGGAGGTACCGGGCTGAGGACACGCATCTCAGGGCTAGTGCGGGGAGAAGCAACAGGGCATGCTGGACCCTGGGGACGCACCGTAGGCCTGATGCGTGGTGCCGGAACTGGAGGTACCGGGCTGAGGACACGCATCTCAGGGCTAGTGCGGGAAGCAGCAACAGGGCATGCTTGGCCCGGGGGACGCACCGTAGGCCTGATGCGTGGTGCCGGAACTGGTCGGGCTGGGCTGGCGACGCGCACCGTACACTTGGTGCGGGTGGCAGGAACAGGCCGAACCGGGCTGGCGACGCGCACCGTAGGCTTCCTACGAGGCTCAGGAACAGGCCGGGCTGGGCTGGCGACGCGCACCGTACACTTGGTGCGAGTGGCAGGAACAGGTCGGGCTGGGCTGGCGACGCGCACCGTACACTTGGTGCGGGTGGCAGGAACAGGCCGAACCGGGCTGGCGACGCGCACCGTAGGCTTCCTACGAGGCTCAGGAACAGGCCGGGCTGGGCTGGCGACGCGCACCGTACACTTGGTGCGGGTGGCAGGAACAGGCCGAACCGGGCTGGCGACGCGCACCGTACACTTAGTGCGAGGGGCCGGAACAGGCCGTACCGTACGGGGAACACACACTACTGGCTGTACCTCGGGATTAGGAACGGGCCGGACCGGACTGGTTACACACCCCAGTACCTCTCGCCGAGCCTCTACACCTTCCTTCCCTGCTTTTCCCAGTAGCCCCCTTAACCTGGTAGCTTCCTGAATCCGCCCCTTCTCTGCCTCCGTCAGCCCCCTTAACCTGGTAGCCTTCTGCATCTGCCTTGTGGCAGCCTCCTGCTGCTCAGTCGCCCAAGCCATGTGCCCCCCCCAAAAAATTTCTTGGGGTTGCCTCTCGTCCACGGGCTTCCAGCCTCGCCTTCGTGCTGCCTCCTCATACCACCTCCTCTCGGCTTTGGCTGCCTCCAGCTCTTCACGAGGGAGGCGATATTCTCCCGGTTGTGCCCAAGGACCCTTTCCATCCAATATCTCCTCCCATGTCCATGAATCCTTGACAGGTGGATACTGTTGCCGCTTGACACGCCGCTTGGTCCTTTGATGGTGGGTTTTTCTGTCACGACTGTCTTCGAAATGAGCGGACCAAAGCGCAGCGCGTTGAGTGAACATGACTTTTATTTATATAAAGCAACCACGAAAAAACAACAAATGACGATACGTGAAGTCCAAAAGTTACAAATACTGGAACATGGAACACTGGAACAAAAACCCACAAACACAAGGTGAAAAACACACAGAATATATATGGCTCCCAATCAGAGATAACGAGCCGACAGCTGACACTCGTTACCTCCGATTGGGAGTCATTGACCAATCACCACTAAACACAAACAAAATGAAACTCACCCATCCCCAACACCACCAAATGAAATACACCCTGGCTCTAACACACAGTCCCGGAGCCATAGTGTGACACCTGTCCACAACCTCAAACAGTCACACTTCAAACTCCACTATGGCCAAGACCAAAGAGCTGTCAAAGGACACCAGAAACAAAATTGTAGACCTGCACCAGGCTGGGAAGACTGAATCTGCAATAGGCAAGCAGCTTGGTTTGAAGAAATCAACTGTGGGAGCAATTATTAGGAAATGGAAGACATACAAGACCACTGATAATCTCCCTCGATCTGGGGCTCCACGCAAGATCTCAGCCCGTGGGGTCAAAATGATCACAAGAACGGTGAGCAAAAATCCCAGAACCACACGGGGGGACCTAGTGAATGACCTGCAGAGAGCTGGGACCAAAGTAACAAAGCCTACCATCAGTAACACACTACGCCGCCAGGGACTCAAATCCTGCAGTGCCAGACGTGTCCCCCTGCTTAAGCCAGTACATGTCCAGGCCCGTCTGAAGTTTGCTAGAGTGCATTTGGATGATCCAGAAGAGGATTGGGAGAATGTCATATGGTCAGATGAAACCAAAATAGAACTTTTTGGTAAAAACTCAACTCGTCGTGTTTGGAGGACAAAGAATGCTGAGTTGCATCCAAAGAACACCATACCTACTGTGAAGCATGGAGGTGGAAACATCATGCTTTGGGGCTGTTTTTCTGCAAAGGGACCAGGACGACTGATCCGTGTAAAGGAAAGAATGAATGGGGCCATGTATCGTGAGATTTTGAGTGAAAACCTCCTTCCATCAGCAAGGGTATTGAAGATGAAACGTGGCTGGGTCTTTCAGCATGACAATGATCCCAAACACACCGCCCGGGCAACGAAGGAGTGGCTTCGGAAGAAGCATTTCAAGGTCCTGGAGTGGCCTAGCCAGTCTCCATAGAAAATCTTTGGAGGGAGTTGAAAGTCTGTGTTGCCCAGCGACAGCCCCAAAACATCACTGCTCTAGAGGAGATCTGCATGGAGGAATGGGCCAAAATACCAGCAACAGTGTGTGAAAACCTTGTGAAGACTTACAGAAAACGTTTGACCTGTGTCATTGCCAACAAAGGGTATATAACAAAGTATTGAGAAACTTTTGTTATTGACCAAATACTTATTTTCCACCATAATTTGCAAATAAATTCATTAAAAATCCTACAATGTGTTTTTCTGGATTTTTTTTTCTCATTTTGTCTGTCATAGTTTACGTGTACCTATGATGAAAAGTACAGGCCTCTCTCATCTTTTTAAGTGGGAGAACTTGCACAATTGGTGGATGACTAAATACTTTTTTCCCCCACTGTATAGGCTATATATATCAATTCCCTATAGCCTATACTCATATCATATAGTTTATCATTGTTGTACCGCATTCGTAGACAGATGCTTATTCTAATCTGGATTAATAAGAAAATGGTCCCCTAAAGACTGATTAATAAAATCAGAGAGGGATTGAACCCTTGAAGCAGGATCGTGTAATACCGTGTCCTCGAGTAACACTGTCGTCCATCCCCATCACCCTGCCTCCAGAGACGGGTGTTTTTTAAATCCTGACCCGGGGATCGACCGAGGTGGAGGAGGATAGGTCTACGGTATGACAGTGTCCACTTTAATTAAAAGGCGATCCGTTTTGTCGGGAGCATTGAGAGAATGCTTAGTCGCTTTGCCAAACATGTGTCTCGGAAATTTCGCTGCGGGCAAATGGAAGCGGCCGCCGGGTTTGTGATACAGATGCAGATTTTCCTGGCCTTAGCGCGGTAGCTCTGGCGCTCAGATTCAATGCTCATTAAAATCAGAGCATATATTATAGCTGTGAAGCTGTCTGTCATCTATAGCCCATACATGTTGTGAGCCAGGGTGCATCCATCCACCAGCGCTAAAAAACAACAAAAAATGAATACAATTAATTAGGTTTGGGTTAGGCCTATCTAAAATATATGCACAATTTACCCAAGACCTATAATAATTTGTTTTCAAACTGTAAACTACTATTCCATAAGAGTCATATCTTGATTTTTTTAAACCAAACATTTTATCACATTATTATAAACACAACAATGTTATGCTACTATTCTACTATTCCAATTACCAAGTAGGCCTATTGGTTATAGAACAGTTATTGATTATTTATCACTTCTATATATTTAGGTGATTTAACTTTCTAGTAAATACGAACCAGGCCTAGTGGGTAAACGCTTGATTACACACATTTTCCTCCTCTCTTCTCTTCCCCTCATCCTCCCTCCCTGTCCCCTGGCCTGAAAAGAATTTCCCCTGGCCTGAAAAGGATTTCCTCTGGCCGGCCAATCATGCAGATCAGACCAATTAAATATCCTTGTTGTTAGCTTCCCAATCATCCTGACAGTCAATGTATCCCTCGGCTAACACAAACAATCTGATCAGGCTGTCACCTCTATACACATGACCCCCCCCCCCCCCCCCCCCCCCCCCCGCTAAGTGGCTAATGACCGCGAGGCGCATAATCCCTCTCAAAACATCTACAAAGATGCTAATTGTTTCTAGCTATAAATACAGGTTGACTCCTGGCGTTCCTTCTTTAGCCTACTAGAACCGACCGAACTCCAGGAAGCGCCTGGCTCCGACGCGACTGTTGTCACATATAGCATAACTTGCCAATACCGGGAAAAGACAGGAGAAACAATTTACATAAGGAACTCGCTGCTAATCAGATTTATTTGTATTTTGACAAAACTATATTTGATTCAACTGAAGTTCCACATCACAGGAAGGCATACTGGGACAGTGGTGTGTAAAAGGACACTTCACGCGCGTTTTGGTTCACGGGCTACATACCAGACAATTGGAATGATATGACCATTGGCCATGTCCATTTAGCAAATGAACCAACATTTCTTTTTTAGATATATGATCATATAGACTATTTTATTTGTTGACAAAGTCTGAGAAGAACGAAAAAGGGGAAAGATGTTCCCTTTGCCTATGTTCACCCCGGAACAAGTGGCTCGGGTGTGCGAGAACCTCGAGGAGACCGGCGACATCGAGCGCCTGGGGCGGTTCTTATGGTCCCTGCCTGCCGCTGTCCCTGGCTCCGCCGGGGAGGCTCTCAACCGCCACGAGTCAGTGATGCGCGCCCGGGCGTTGGTCGCCTTCCACGGAGGAAACTTCGAGGCGCTTTACCAGATCCTCCAGAGCCACCGCTTTACGCGCGAGTCTCACGCGAAACTCCAAGATCTGTGGCTAGACGCGCATTACCGCGAGGCGGAACGGCTCCGGGGCCGTCCCCTGGGACCCGTGGAGAAGTACCGCATCCGGAAGAAGTTCCCACTGCCTCGCACCATCTGGGACGGCGAGCAGAAGACGCACTGCTTTAAGGTGAGACACCAAGCTGTAAGTAATATTATTTCGCACCATAACTATAGTTACGCACCTTCACCATACATATATGCCCATTTACACTAACTGGCTATAAATGATAAATCAACGAAAACCGTAACATATATCTGACTGTAACCAATAATTTATATAGCCTACTGGGCTGACTCACTGTTAATTGATCATTTGTAAAATATTTTGAAATTCTTTCACTGAAACATCTGAAATAACTTCAGAAGGTCCCATTATGGCACCTTCACATATCAAGTCCCCAATAGTTCCTGAACTCTTCAGTTGCTAATGACACTGAGTCACTGACAAAGGTTTTCCCTTTTTCTCCAGCCCTGATCTCTGTTAACTCAGACAATAGATAATTGGGTCAATGCCCTCCTGCAAGGTTAGGTTAGACATAGTACATCAGGTAAGAGGCTGTAGATTATTTACAGTTGAAGTCGGAAGTTTACATACACCTTAGCCAAATACATTTAAACTCAGTTTTTCACAATTCCTGACATTTAATCCTAGTAAAAATTCCATGTTTTAGGTCATTTAGGATCACCACTTTATTTTAAGAATGTGAAATGTCAGAATAATAGTAGAAAGAATGATTTTTTCAGCTTTTATTTCTTTCATCACATTCCCAGTGGGTCAGAAGTTTACATACGCTCAATTAGTATTTGGTAGCATTGCCTTTAAATTGTTTAACTTGGGTCAAACATTTCGGGTAGCCTTCCACAAGCTTCCCACAATAAGTTGGGTGAATTTTGGCCCACTCAACTGGTGTATCTGAGTCAGGTTTGTAGGCCTCCTTGCTCGCACACACTTTTTCAGTTCTGCCCACACATTTTCTATAGGATTGAGGTCAGGGTTTTGTGATGGCCACTCCAATACCTTGACTTTGTTGTCCTTAAGCCATTTTGCCACAACTTTGGAAGTATGCTTGGGGTCATTGTCCATTTGGAAGACCCATTTGCGACCAAGCTTTAACTTCCTGACTGATGTCTTGATATGTTGCTTCAATATATCCACATAATTTTCCTTCCTCATGAAGCAATCTATTTTGTGAAGTGCACCAGTCCCTCCTGCAGCAAAGCACCCCCACAGCATGATGCTGCCACCCCCGTGTTTCACGGTTGGCATGGTGTTCTTGGGCTTGCAAGTAACCCCCTTTTTCCTCCAAACATAACGATGGTCATTATGGCCAAACAGTTCTATTTTAGTTTCATCAGACCAGAGGACATTTCTCCAAAAAGTATGATCTTTGTCCCCATGTGCAGTTGCAAACCGTGGTCTACCTTTTTAATGGCGGTTTTGGAGCAGTGGCTTCTTTCTTGCTGAGCGGCCTTTCAGGTTATGTCGATATAGGACTCGTTTGACTGTGGATATAGATACTTTTGTACCGGTTTCCTCCAGCATCTTCACAAGGTCCTTTGCTGTTGTTCTGGGATTGATTTGCACTTTTCGCACCAAAGTACGTTAATATCTAGGAGACAGAACGCGTCTCCTTCCTGAGCGGTATGACGGCTGCGTGGTCCCATGGTGTTTATACTTGCGTACTATTGTTTGTACAGATGAACGTGGTACCTTCAGGCGTTTGGAAATTGCTCCCAAGGATGAACCAGACTACAATTTTTTTCTGAGGTCTTGGCTGATTCCTTTTGATTTTCTCATGAAGTCAAGCAAAGAGGCACTGAGTTTGAAGGTAGATCTTGAAATACATCCACAGGTACACCTCCAATTGACTCAAATTATGTCAATTAGCCTATCAGAAGCTCCTAAAGCCATGACATAATTTTCTGGAATTTTCCAAGCTGTTTAAAAGCACAGTGTATGTAAACTTAGTGTATGTAAACTTCTGACCCACTGGAATTGTGTCTGTCTGTAAATAATCTGTCTGTAAACAATTGTTGTAAAAATTACTTGTGTCATGCACAAAGTAGATGTCCTAACCGACTTGCCAAAACCATAGTTTGTTAACAAGAAAATTTGTGGAGTGGTTGAAAAACGAGTTTTAATGACTCCAACCTAAGTGTAGGTAAACTTCAGACTTCAACTGTGTATAGCGAAACTAATGAATGCCATGGTGTTTCCCACAGAGATCCTATTCAATTATTTTCTATAATGTAATTTTATAGTGTTTCACTTTCTACAATTTACTGCTTTGAGTTTGATGGCAAAGTTTTTCACAGGGTAAAGTGTCAAACAGGACATATCTTGTCTGTAGTAATACGGCTGAACATGTCACTTCCTTTACTGAGTGACAGAGCAATACATGACAGTCTACGGTCTCTCTGCTGAACCACTGGAAATATGCATCAGCGTCTTTGTGTGGATTCACAAAACATTATTATTATTTTTTTAATGGCCTTCCCAACTTTCACCAACCTTATGACTTACAGGCTAAATGTTATAGCCGAGAAACAAGCAACGTCAGCCAAAGCAAGACTCATTAGGCTACACAAAATATATATTTGGTTTTTAAAGTATATTCAAACTTGTTTTAAATCTAAATCTCAACATGGAAACAACATAGGTGAATGCCTCTGCTCTTCAACCTTAGCCTGGGTCTTTTTGTGACAACAATCCATTCCTCATATGACACGGAGTACAAGGGGGGGAATGTTAGCACAAATCAGGTCTAGATTTCAGGCTACTTCAACCTGCAGTAATCCTGTGGTTAAAGAGCTCCATAAGAGCATGTTGAATGAGGACTGTGCTGCTATAGGCTAAAGGCTGTAGTGCATGTGTTATGTCCCAAATGACACCCTATTCCCTATACAGTACACTACTTTTGACCCAAGCTCTATGGGCCCTGGTCAAAAGTAGTGCACTACATAGGGAATAGGGTGCCATTTGGGACGTAACCATGGAGGGAGTCAGATAGCTATAAGCCTTGCGTGTCAGAGACCACCCGTGGTAGTATAAACTGAGCTCCCTTTTACTCTGGAGTTTCCACCAACTCACAGCAGTGAGCAATCACCTAGCCTGGGATAGAATTGAATAACTTTATTTTCCTGCAAGGGAACTTCTTTTTGGAGTAGTTCAGAAGAATAACTAACATAAACATAGTAGGTTATGCTACAAAGTAGAACTAGCTACTAGGCTACACTTGGTTACACAAATAGCAGAGGACAGGACAACGATAATACAACAGCCAAAATAAAGTACCACTTTTCTTGGTGCTGGATGGCCAGTGTCTTTGATATTTGCTTAGCAGGCGATTACACTGAATACCGCACCCTTTCACTATTGAAGTGAAACAGTAGTGAAACAGAGAGATATCCCGTTTTGTATCCCCCCCAGGCTACTGTAGCAGTCAACTGCACTCCAACGGAAATGAGTGTGTCGCAAATGCAGTGGTCTGGGAACCAAGATGACAATCACTAGGTCTAGCGGGAAATGTTGGGATTAACAGTGTTTTGCCTTTTGGATGTCAGTATAGACATCATCAGTTATCTTTGGAAAACAAAAAACACAGGCATAAGTCATCCCCATTCATGTTAACCATTGCAGCATTTTGGTTGCTTCACTGATATGTAAAAAATCTAAATGGACTTCAACCAACAAAATCATATGAAATCACTTGCGTCAGGGAAGGGAATAGGTCATTTTAGAACATACAGTAGCTACACACAGCATAAAAAAAGATCCATGACTGACTGAGTAGCCTTAGACTTAACCCTGGACAGATACACACTTCGAGCAGGTCACATTTCCACAGAAACAACATAATCCCTGTGTGTCACTCTCTGGCCCAGGATGTTGTTGACAAGATTGAATAGGTAAAGCCTGTGCAAGACCATTAGGTGAAGGGTCTGAGGCTGAGCACTGACTTTTGCTATAGAGTGTACAGTAGGTCAGTGGAATGTCCCTACTCCCCCGTTACATTCCCTATTGTGGTAGAGTCAGGTACTGCATGTAAATAATCTGTCTGCCGCACAAGTATAAACCTCTACTAATCGTAAGGCTCCTAGCCCTCTCTCCAGTACTAAACCCTTTTATCCTGAGCCAATATACAGTATAGCATCTTTATGTTGATAATGTAGATTATAATTATTATCCCTTAAATCCAATTTAATACGATTATTTTCAGCATGGCTTAGGTCTCCTGCAGGAGATCTTCTCTTAACAATATCAATGGAGTAGCCTAATGAAGATATCACACCCATATACTGCATATGTCATATCTGATTGTGAAATATATAGCTTATTAGGAACACTGTTGGTTACATGAAGCAGGGAAGTGACCATTGTTGTGTCCTTTATGTCTCTAAGGAGAGAACTCGTAGCCTGCTCAGGGAGTGGTACCTCCAGGACCCCTACCCAAACCCGTCCAGGAAACGGCACCTGGCCCAGGCCACGGGACTCACGCCCACACAGGTCGGCAACTGGTTCAAGAACCGACGCCAGAGAGACAGGGCCGCGTCGGCAAAGAACAGGTATGTCAAGACTCAAGTCAAGGCAAGAGAGGAGGCTACTCAGCTCGAACCTTTGACTTGCTGTGTCTTGTTGAATATGTTCTACATTGAAAAATTAAGCAATTTATCAAAAGACTGCTTATTGAGTGTGAGCCAATTTATTATTATTTTACCTCAAGACCTCAAGACAAAAGCACCACGATTAGTCACAGAGTGTACCACTTAGGTAACACTTCAACCAACCATGAATCTCTAAAACTAACTTCACTATCTCCTTCACCCTGTTCCCAGACTGCAGCAGGATCCCACCCACCTGCCTTCTGGATGCTCCCCTGAAGGTTCTGTCCAGGAGCACCACGCTCACCACCCCCGCCTGCTGGCCGCCTCCCCCCGTCACCCGGGCAGCCCCGAGGCCAGCGACTGCAGCACGGGCACCGAACCCTTGGGCACCGGAGCCTCCACCCCCGACATCTCTGTCAGCAGTGACAGCGAGTTTGAATCCTGAGGTTTGGGTCATTGAGCACAGCTGGAGAGAGGCCCTAATTGGTTGACTCCTGAAGAGAGATGTTCTGATTGGTCCTCAGCCAGGAAGCCCCGGCCCCACAGATATAGAGACAATATTGACACTGTAGAACTACTATCTGTCTGTGAGTTGGGATTGGACACTTTGACGAAAGACTTGATATGGACACTTGATGTGGTTGCTAGTGGAAGAATGGGGAGGGGTGGAGGGTTGGGGATTGGACCATCCACAAACACATGCACTTAAAATGCACCATCGCACACGACTGTGAGGTACACGGTTATTTAGTATCGTATGACTGTGCTGCTGACTTGTACAAAGAAATACCCACTAGAATTCTTTGTCCTGTAGATTTTGACTGGAACGTGGGTAGTCAGTCAGTCAGTCAGTCGGGAGCAATAGCATATTCTATAACAGCAATAACTATTCTCAGGCACATTATTTATATAAATAATATACACAGTCACAGTCTTAGAGCTAGAGTAAATACTGAACTTGAATTATAATGTTATATGTTTTGACCGGTTTCAAGTCATAGGGGGTCTATTTTTGAGTATTCTATCATTGAGTACTAGCTTTAATCCCATTTCTTAATTTGCCCCTGACAATGAACAATGCCTTCGGTAGGCTGTTGGTTTCTTACATGATCAGTCGTTGGTGAACTCAGAACTGCTTATGATCAGTGATTGGAACAGACAGGTCTGCATTTCTCCTCATAGGCCTACAGGTCACTGCCTTAAAAAGGAACTACAGAATCTCATTCTACTCTAACTCTTTTAGTTCCACTTCCATTTAGCCACCATTGTAAAAGACATCCCACATCATCACTACACATTTGTATATAGATTAGATAGTTTAACATTCTTCCTCTATTATGACAATATAACAACTGTACACTACCGGTCAAAAGTTTGGGGTCACTTAGAAATGTCCTTGTTTTCCATGAAAACATACATGAAATGAGTTTGAATAGGAAATATATCAAAATGAATAGGAAATGTAGTCATTGACAAGGTTAGAAATAATGATTTTTAATTTAAATAATAATTGTGTCCTTCAAACTTTGCTTTTGTCAAAGAATCCTCCATTTGCAGCAATTACAGCCTTGCAGACCTTTGGCATTCTAGTTGTCAATTTGTTTGAGGTAATCTGAAGAGATTTCACCCCATGCTTCCTGAAGCACCTCCCACAAGTTGGATTGGCTTGATGGGCACTTCTTACGTACCATACGGTCAAGCTGCTCCCACAACAGCTCAATAGGGTTGAGATCCGGTGACTGTGCTGGCCACTCCATTATAGACAGAACACCAGCTGACTGCTTCTTCCCTAAATAGTTATTGCATAGTTTGGAGCTGTGCTTTGGGTCATTGTCCTGTTGTAGGAGGAAATTGGCTCCAATCAAGCGCCGTCCATAGGGTATGGCATGGCGTTGCAAAATGGAGTGATAGCCTTCCTTCTTCAAGATCCCTTTTACCCTGTACAAATCTCCCACTTTACCACCACCAAAGAAACCCCAGACCATCACATTGCCTCCACCATGCTTGACAGATGGCATCAAGCACTCCTCCAGCATCTTTTCATTTGGTCTGCGTCTCACAAATGTTCTTATTTGTGATCCGAACACCTCAAACTTCGATTCATCTGTCCATAACACTTTTTTCCAATCTTCCTCTGTCCAGTGTCTGTGTTCTTTTGCCCATCTTAATATTTTATTTTTATTGGCCAGTCTGAGATATGGCTTTTTCTTTGCAACTCTGCCTAGACGGTCAGCATCCCGGAGTCGCCTCTTCACTGTTGACGTTGAGACTGGTGTTTTGTGGGTACTATTTAATGAAGCTGCCAGTTGAGGACCTGTGAGGCGCCTGTTTCTCAAACTAGACACTCTAATGTATTTGTCCTCTTGCTCAATTGTGCACCGGGGCCTCCCACTCCTCTTTCTATTCTGGTTAGAGCCAGTTTGCGCTGTTCTGTGAAGGGAGTAGTACACAGCGTTGAACGAGATCTTCAGTTTCTTGGCAATTTCTCGCATGGAATAGCCTTCATTTCTCAGAACAAGAATAGACTGACGAGTTTCAGAAGAAAGTTATTTGTTTCTGGCCATTTTGAGCCTGTAATCGATCCCACAATTGCTGATGCTCTAGATACTCAACTAGTCTCAAGAAGGCCAGTTTTATTGCTGTGCTAACATAATTGCAATAGGGTTTTCTAATGATCAATTAGCCTTTTAAAATGATAAACCTGGATTAGCAAACACAACGTACCATTGAAACACAGGACTGATGGTTGCTGATAATGGGCCTCTGTACGCCTATGTAGATATTCCATTATAAATCAGCCGTTTCCAGCTACAATAGCCATTTACAACATTAACAATGTCTACACTGTATTTCTGATCAATTTGATGTTATTTTAATGGACAAAAAAAATGCTTTTCTTTCGAAAACAAGGAAATTTCTAAGTGACCCCAAACTTTTGCTGCTTTGTATGATGTGTCCAAAACATCCCCATTATAATATTATTCAAACCTGGTATATTCTTTACACTGTTGTATGAGGCATCATTCAGTGTGTGGAATCCTCTGCACTGCTCTCTCTAGAAATGTACTTCATACATGCATTGCCTTTCAGAGCAAAACAATAAGTGAGTGATTTGGATAAAAAGGAAATGAAACTACGAAATATAAAAGCAAGATTTATAAGTAGCCCAGGGGAGTGAACGTGAAGCACAACTCCTTGATGTGCCTATAAACCTTCGAGGACAGCATAACGACCTGGTTCATATATATGACTGTTTTTTCTTTATATATACCCATATAAATATCACCATACAATACGTCGTTGTGGGATGTATTCATTGGAAAATAAGTATTTTGTAAAAATGTGTCTGGTTGTGTATGAATTTGGAATAAATGAAACAATGTTGATTCAAACCTCTTGTTGAGGTCTGCACGAACGATGCATGAGCGTTTAATGGTGAAAAGGAGCGAATATTCGATAGTGGTCAAGAGGAAGAAGCCGTAGGTTGTTTGTTTGGGAGGTGGATTCATATGTGCTGGGTTTGAAAGGCTTACCTCAAACGGCATCACTTTTTCATAATTGAACGAATTAGAGTTGATTTGTGACCACCAACTAGACAGAGAGATTGACACATAGCCTACCTGTAGACCTATGCCCATTCGCCCCTCCCCCTTGTCTTTTCTCCTGCTCCCACTAGTCTCGACCCCGCCCACACTTCACGTTATTGAAGGAAGAAGAATTTGCTGCTGCCCTGAAGTCCCTCATATTTTGCATTTTGTACGAATCTTTCCCCGTGTGTTCAAAAATAAATTAAGTTTTGCTTAATTGGACTAGCCCACCTGGGTTGAGAGCCCCGACAGAAGGGAATAGATAGAGGTACCTTCACTCACCATCAGTGGAACATGGACAGCGAGGGCAGAAAGGTTGTCGTCTGTGACAATGGCACAGGGGTAAGTGAATATGTCGACAAAACGTTGTTTTAATTACTTGTATTTTTTAAAATCACTACGCCACCAAGTAAAACATGTTTTATATCTAATGTTTTTAGGATTTAGGAATGAATTATGAGAGTATGCATCATTGGAATTTAACAACCTGGAAGAAGTAATGTGGGCTATATCTTAATCAATTGTATTTGTGCAGGGCAGGCTCCAGCCATAGTTGAGAGTTAGAATAGTAGAGTACACAAGGAGTAAGTTCGAAATTTGGTTGTGAATCAGCAGTTTTTCTCATGTTTTTTCAGTCACTGACAGTCACCCAATTAGCCATGTCAGCTAACAATTTTTTGATTGGCAAGTTAGTCTAGCCAGTTATCTAAACTTGTAGTAATCATGGCCGAGGGGGCCTTGAACTGCAGGAAATGTGCTATAAAACTTTAAACATTTCTCTCCACACCATGGCAAAATGGGTAGAATAGCTGGAAATTAGCTTTAAAATTGCAAAAAAGTATCTGAGTAGGATTGCAGGAAATTTGTTATGAAATTGAAAAAGAATATCTCTCTCCGCTCCATGGCAATATCTGTAGAACTGCAGAAAACTTGCTTTAAAACTACAAAAATGTCTCTCTGCCCCATTGCAAAATAAGTAGAATTTAATGAAATCTGTTATACAGTTGCAACCAAATCTTGCTTAGGGCCCCAAAAGGCTAGAGCCGGCCCTGTATTTGTGTTGATAACAGCACAGTTAAGTTACTTTCTAATATCCTGCTACAAAATTGCAACATTTTATTCCTAAATGTGGTAACAGAGAGTCACTTAAATAAGTATGGTGTTGTAGAAGCCTATGTAGAATGCTGCTCTCCGTGCAGGTAGTAGGTAGGGTTGTGGGTCTGTTTTGAGTGCACATCTGTCTGGACTTGTCACAGCAGACTCCTCTTATTCACACAAACTGCCATACATGGTGGTGATGTGTTGGAGTGAGCTGTTATTGGACAGGTCCCAGGAAGGAACACAACCAAATCATTTCTGAGATAATTCTCAGTTCCTCAAGCTTCTTGCTTCTTGAGTTCATCTGCACGAAACAAATGGATATTGGAAGACCCTTTAAACTTTCTGTCCTGCAGAAGTACAATATAGACTCATGAACTACATGAGCTTACTTGCCCTGCCTCCACTTGTGGCTGGTGCTAGTGCTTGTAATAGAGGTCTAGGCGGGACTGATTTCTACATCCCGCTCCAGCCCGCACCCGCAGCTTTTAATACTGCACCCGCCCACTCACGCTGGCTTTCTGTCCGACTCCCACCCGCTGCCGCAAGAACTGGCCCCGAACCCAACCCCAGTCCCGCAATGTTATTTTAGGTGTGTGACGCAGCTCGTTTGACAGCTATTGTCCCAGCAATTTTGCGCCCTATAGGCAATATACAAATGCGCAGAAATAATCTAAGAAATAGGCTAGGTTATATTACCAGAGATTCTCACGTGGCCCATTATATTAGGCTATCTATCGGTATTAATGGGCTATATCATCCAATAGGCTAGACGTACAGTAGTTTGAAGAGAACAGAGTTGGAGAGAGCACGGACACTTGCACTTTCTTTTGAGCTACGTTTTGTAAATAGCATACCTTTTTGATTTTGATGATTTTCAGACAGAGACAAATGTGGATGATCAATAAGCCTTTTTATTTCCAGGAAATGTAGTAAACTATAGCCTAATCATATTTAGGTAGTTCATTTCCTTGGAAATATATTTATCTGCCCCGTGCTTCTCCGCCCATGCATATAGCCTTCTCTATTTAATTGAGACCATATGGCACCTGATCTCGCACGCCCAAGAGGAGATGTAGTCTCCTGAGTGGCGCAGTGGTCTAAGGCACTGCATCGCAGTGCTAGCTGTGCCACTAGAGACCGGGAGACCCATGGGGCGGCGCACAATTGGCCCAGCGTCGTCCAGGGTAGGGGAGGGAATGGCCGGCAGGGATGTAGCTCAGTTGGTAGAGCATGGCGTTTGCAACGCCAGGGTTGTGTGTTCGTTTCCCACGTGGGGCCAGTATGAAAAAATATAATAAAAAATAATAATAATATATGCACTCACTAACTGTAAGTCGCTCTGGATAAGAGCGTCTGCTAAATGACTAAAATGTAAATGTAAGGCTACTGAACTGCAGTATGGTCTGCGGAGGTTGCGCCTTTTCCTTTTCAATGATGATCACATTTTTGGATTGCACCTCGAACCATGTTTGTTGAGCGCCCTCCCCTTCTTTCCATTATCAATATTTATTTACAGACACTGTAGTAAACTTAAGCATAATAATATTTAAGTTCATTTCTTTGGAAAGATAACTGCCACGTGATTCTCATGCATACAGTGTAAACCCCAATGTGCTGTCATAAAAAAAAATGTTGTGTGGAGGAAACCAGTTGCACTTAATATATCTGAGTACAGTTACTTAAAGTGATTTTGTAGTCACTACTCAAACCGATAGAGTCACTGTGACATTGTAAGGGGTCCAGATTTGAGTTGTATCAGTTTAATTTTGGGGGGTAACGTCCCCACTAATACATTGCTCAAATATACTTTCCCAGTATGCCTTGCCTTTTCGAGTGAATTGTAGAGTTACCACCAATGACAGTATTTGTTTAATGACATAAGCTAGGTTTCCATCCAATTGCCTAACGATTTTCATGCGAATATTCTAAAATCTGCATAAAAACAATATTAAATTCCCCATGTACCGAATAAAAAATATGGGTTTCTATGGCTTTTTCCAAAAATGTTGCGTTATAGCGAATGTGCCCACTCTGGTATTGGCACGTGCGCTCAAGCCAACATTTTGCATATAGCCTACAGTGCGGGTATAGCCTACCTACATGATGAGGTTATTATAGACAAAAGAGCGAGACAATTTTTATTTGTCAAACGGCAGCCAAGCATCGATCATTATGTAAACAGAGTGCAAGGCGATGAGCTTGATGCTCCTTATTGGAAATGAGCATCAAGCTTATCACCTTGCACTTTCACCACCCTGTGAAGATCATGATAACTTATATCTGTAGCCTAATAAACTGCATGCTTTCCCTAGTCATAGTGGGAGGACCCCACAACATGTCATCGTGTGAATCCAAGTTTACTTCGATATGATGGTTATTATATCAATATTTGCGCATAAAAGCGTTTCCACCGCAATTTCTCGCATAATTAATTTTACCGACAAAAAGAGTTCCCACCTTGTCTAGCATATTTTGCTTTGTCGACATTTAAAAAGTTTACCGACAAATTTGCTGTTTCCATCAGGCCTGTCATGACGTTTATTGTACTTTACTCACATGAAAAGGTTGGATGGAAACCTGGTTAGAGACATGGTTGTTGAATTCGTTCATTTGGCGAATGTGAGTTCCTAGGCGAATGTTATCATTATAATTAAACTCTTTATGACAATACATTACATATCTCATAAGGCCTTATTTTGAGGCCTAGCTTTACCCAAATACAGTGGCCTGAAACTGATGGTTTACAGGCCACATCAGGCCTGCAAGTGCAGTTGCAAAATTCTGGTAACTTTCCCAAAATTCCCAGATTTTCAAAAAATCCTGGTTGAAGGATTTCCAGGAATCTTCCAACCGGGATTACTAGAAAACCTGGGAAATGTAACATACTTTTGCTACCCTACCTACAAGTCATATTATGCTGGTTTGCAAAGTGATGTGTGATTCCTATTTGAATCCAGCCATAGTTAGGAAATCCAACATACCTTTTTATTCACCTGCAACCTGCATTCATAATGACTGCCAGGATTAGGAACAGTGTGAGGAGACTACCTAAGCATTTAAACTGGAGCAACCATTTCAGTAACAGGTGCAAAAAATCTAACTCAATTATTGGATTAGTTTAGAAAAATTATAGTTATTTATCGCTGTGTAGCATAAGATCAATCAATCAATCACTCAATGTAACTTTCGGTTTTGAACCCCAGCTTCAAACAGCTGAAAATACAATATTTTTGGTTATGGAAATTATATTTCACAGTGGTTTAGATGGTACAATGATTCTCTACACTAACTTTCTTGTTTTGTCACATAAACTGAAATTAGGCAAACTATTACAATTTCTGCAACCAGGAAATGGCAGAGCGATTTCTGCATAGTGCTTCTTTAATAACATTTAGTTGATGTGACTTCTCATTTAGTTTTGAGTCAGTACCACAAACGTTTTAAGTAATAATGACTTTTCATTGACTTTGAGTTCAACGTACTAGAAGTATTTGAGTTAAAAATGCCTTGGGCTTTACAGTGTAGGCAGCCTACTCTATTTAATTGAGACCACACATATAGGCGCGCTTGATCTCGCACGCCCAACTAGGAGAGGAGAGGTAGGCTACTGAACTTGAAGCAGCGAATGCTGAGAGTTTGTGAATAATACGACAGAGGTGTTTTTAACACAATATTTCTGACAGCCTGCTCCCACCCGCAGCATAAAAAATGCAGACCGCGCCGCAATGATCTCTGTAACGGCCCGCAGGTCCTGTGCGCATCCCGCGGGAATGCTTGGAATGTATTGCACACCTTCAGGCTATGGAATGTGTCTTGGCCACATAGACAAGTTAGGACATTTAAAGAAATACACTGTAAAAAACGTAACTTGTTCTTAAAGTAACTTACTGGCAGCCAGTTACCTGTAAGTTACTGTAAAAAAGGTACTGTATGTTACCGTAAATACCAAAGAAACTTTGGTTTAACAGTACATTACTGTAAAGTTTACAGTTTAACAGTACATTACTGTAAACTTACTGTTAAACCAACGTTTCTTTGGTACCTTTTGTACCTTTCTACCTTTTTTAAACTGCAATTTACAGGTAACTGGCATCCAATAAGTTACTTAAAAACAACAGGATTTTTTTGTGTGTGTTGTAAGCACACAGGTAAATAGACAGCAATAGCCCAATAAAATGTATAATTTACTATTTCATGATGCATTTTACACTGTTGTTAATGCTGGCTTGATACAGTTGTTTGACACGTCAGCCTTTAAAGTTGAACTGAAAATATTTTGCAGAAGTTTAGCATGGGTGACATTCTCTGTGATCACATTTTGGTTTCCACTCAATGCACAAAAATGTATGACTTTTTCAGCAGACTGGTCTTTCCTTAGCCTCTCATGTTGAAAGTGTATTGAAAGTGAAAGCTACCAACATCATGTTTCTTTTGTATTGGTTCCCATGCAGTTTGTCAAGTGTGGCTTCGCTGGCTCCAACTTCCCCGAGCACATCTTCCCTGCGTTGGTGGGTCGGCCCGTCATTCGGTCAAACACCAAGGTCGGAAACATCGAGATTAAGGTGAGGTTAATTAAGGAGAGAGAGTTGACTTCCAGCCTAAAGACAAACACTGACTCTTACGTGTCAAGGGAAAAGTTATTCTCCAAACATGAATGCTCCTCAGCTGTGCATATTCTCCTTTGATTGTGCATGATTGTCATGTAAGCAATCAAGACTGTAAACTCCCTCTCTGACAATCACAATATAGAGGTAATATCTCGAAGTGCCATGTCTGTAGCCTCAGTATAATTCTGAATAATCAAATACATCTAAAGCAACTCCCCTGGTGACCCCCCAAACCTGAACCTAGGACTTGATGGTGGGTGACGAGGCCAGTGAGTGTCGCTCCATGCTGGAGGTGTCTTACCCCATGGACAACGGCATAGTGCGCTCCTGGGAAGACATGCTTCACTTGTGGGACTACACCTTTGGCCCTGGGCGCCTCAATATCAGTCCCCCAGACTGCAAGGTCAGTTATTGTATTTTAAATGTTTTAATTTTTATTTAACCTTTTTATACAGGTTAGTTTAATTTAGGTAAAATAAAAATTAATTGCAAGAGAGACCTAGGTATGAAGTGCATTTAGTCTGTTAAACTTCCAATTAAGTTTTAGACATTCCATAAAACGTTAGGATTGCATCTTTAAATTAAAAAACTGTTTTTACATTCCTCTGCCCTCTGTGTATGTTGTGATGTTGTGTGGGGATCAATAAAGTTGAATTCGATTCAAGGTGCTGCTGACGGAACCGCCCATGAACCCCACTAAGAACCGGGAGAAGATTGCTGAGGTCATGTTCGAGACCTACCAGTTCCACGGCATCTATGTGGCCATCCAGGCCGTGCTCACACTCTATGCCCAGGGTAAGGGGAGACTAGACCCAAAGACATGGCTCTCCCTGTAATATATAATAACATACTATAGTGTAATGCTTAGACTTTAGCTCCACAGGAAAACACATTCTTGTGGGGGTGCAGGTTCGAACCCAGTCGGTCACCATCATACCGTCTGTTATGTGACCCTGTGTGTCCTGCCCTGTCCTGTCTCCAGGGTTGCTAACGGGTGTGGTTGTGGATTCGGGTGATGGTGTGACCCACATCTGTCCCGTGTACGAGGGCTTCTCTCTCCCCCATCTCACACGCAGGCTGGACATCGCAGGACGTGACATCACACGCTACCTCATCAAGGTGTGTACAAGGGCTGCGTCTCAAATGGCACCCTATTCTCTCTGCAGCACACTACTTAGGGTGACATCTGGGATGCATCCAAGGAAACCTTAGTGGATACGGCAATATTTATGATGTCCCTCATCTAAATCATCATTAAAAAAAAAACTTTTTATTTCTTTTTCATGTATTCCTATTTTTTTTTTTTTTCTATTTCCTTCGTTTAAAAAATTTTTATATATTTGTATCTTTTTGTTTTGTCAAAAAAAAAAAATGTATTTTTTTGCAAATGGATAGCCTATAGGACTATTTTGTAATGAAAAGTACTTTCTGGGGATGAATATAAAAGACTCCTTTAAAATTTTTCACCTCTGATCCATCTCTCAGCTGCTGTTGCTGCGCGGCTATGTCTTCAACCACTCGGCTGACTTTGAGACCGTTCGCATGATGAAGGAGGAACTATGCTACGTGGGATACAACATAGAACAGGAGCAGAAACTGGCCACAGAGACCACCGTGCTAGTGGAGTCATACATGGTACTAAAGCTAACCCTATCCACACATGTCAATTAGAGAGAATGGTTATGAATGTGATCAATGCTCTTTTAGCTTGGGAAGCAATCTGTTTCTCTGTTAACAAACGGACTGCGGCAAGGCGACAATGTAGCAATGTTGCAAAACTCCGAAACAATCTGACACCCAGGATAACCTTATATGAATCTCTCTAGCCCATGCCCATAGCTACTGTAAATCTATCACGACATAAAATACTTCAGAAAATAAAGAGGTATGAATTTGTAATTATTCACTAACTCTCTCTCTCTGTTCTAGCTCCCTGATGGTCGTCAGGTGATGGTGGGAGGGGAGCGGTTCGGTGCCCCTGAGGCCCTCTTCCAGCCCCACCTCATCAACGTAGAGGGAGCCGGCGTGGCTGAGCTGCTGTTCAACACCATCCAAGCTGCTGACATAGATCTCAGGTCAGAGATGCACCACCCTGCTGCTGGTCTCCACATGGTTTAATGGCTGGACATAAAGCTTCTAGCTAGCCTTGTCCCATACTGTATGAGTTGTAGCAAACTTTTCTATTGTTTGTTTTAATGCCATACAAGAATGGGAAGAGGCTATAGCATCAGGTCAGCTATACAATACAGTACACTGTGGGCCCATGCTAAAGTTAGAGATCTGCACAATAATTGTTACATAGTTGTAATATATTTAAGCAATAAGGCACGAGGGGGTGTGGTATATGACCAATATACCACGGCTAAGGGATGTTATTATGCACGACGGAACACAGAGTGTCTGGATACAGCCCTTAGCCGTGGTATATTGGCCATATACCACAAACCCAGAGGTGCCTTATTGCTATTATAAACTGGTTACCAACGTAATTAGAGCAGTAAAAATAAATGTTTTGTCATACCCATGGTATACGGTCTGATATACCACGGTTGTCAGCCAATCAGCATTCGGGGCTTGAACGGCCCAGTTTATAAATGTGTATATTACACATTTTTACCCACATTATATATTGTCGTTACATACATGCGTAAGTGTAGGTTATTGTAGTTGTTTGGTAGCTGTATTAAATATATGAAGCCATAATATTATACTATAGCTAGATGACCTCAATCTCCCTCACCCACCCATTAAATTAATAAGAACTGTATGCATACATTATGGTTTATGTCTGATTCTATGTTGTATGTGCCTCTCCCTCCGGAAGGTCTGACTTCTACAAGCACATTGTGCTGTCAGGGGGCACCACCATGTACCCCTGGCCTTCCCTCCAGACTGGAGAGAGAGATCAAACAGCTGTACCTGGAGAGGGTGCTGCAGGGGGACACTGAGAAGCTCTCTGTAAGCACACACAAATGCGTGGAAGCACACAGACACATAGACATGCACGGACGCTTACACACAAATATGTACGCACACCTGTGTAAATGTTCTGTTCCTTCATTTTAGTTTACCATATGTTTTTCGACCCACTCCTTTTCCCCGTTCCCTCCCTCTGTACAGAAGTTTAAGATCCGCATTGAGGACCCTCCACGGCGTAAACACATGGTGTTCATGGGTGGAGCAGTGCTGGCCAACATTATGAAGGACAAGGAGTCCTTCTGGCTGAGCCGGGCTGAGTACCTGGAGAAAGGCCTAAAGGTTCTGGACAAACTGGGAGGCGGCGTGAGATAAAGGTGAAATAGTGGTTAGCTAGGGTCTCTCTCACACACACACACAAGGTCTGGGGGTGCTGGACAAACTGGGGCGCGGCAATAGATGGAAGTCCTCGGTCGTATTGACTTGGCACAAACGGAAGAAAACGTTGTGCTCTAATGAATATGACAGTGGATAAAATGGGGGCCGTGGTCAGCTAGACAAAACAAAGACTATATGATGGGACTACTGGGTTTAAAACTGTGATGCTGTAATAGAGAAAATATAATGCCTTCCTGGATGCATAGGGGCCAGCCATTGCCTGTCTGATTAGAAATCTCTGTTATAAGAAGCATGAAATAGAATAGCATTTTCCTCTTCGTAACAGTCAACTTTCCAAGTTGTTTTCAGTGTCAAATGGACATATTGTATTGCATACAATACAACAATTATACAGTTACACAATAGAATAGTACAATTGTAATGTTTCATATTTTTACCATTTTAATTCACACTGTGTCAAATGGAACCCTTTTGAGGAAGTTCGTCATGCCATTGTTTCAAATGCATATGAAAATAAATACAACAGACTAAATGCCAAATTGAATAAAGTGAATGTCATCGTCTTTGATGACTGAATAGCCCTTTTGTACTGGACGATATCTTTGTGTCTTTAAAGTCATCAATCATTTATGTAAACACATTTGGAAAATAGCCATATTTCTTCATTCTGACAGTGTAGAGAATATGATTATTCAAAGATTCTGTGACCGTTGTGGATTGAGGTTGCCAGAACCTGTCTGATATATAAGAATAGTAATTAGCTGTTTCCCAGTGGTGACTTGTAACATTCCCTCTACATTATAACTTCATGATATTACTGTACATATTTTAGGCAGCAAACACTGATAAACAAAGAATACATAATGTAACAGCACTATGAACAGATATTGCAATTTTATTGCGATTTTGTATTACTGGACAAAACACAGCAATTGGTTATACGTTCAAAGAAATAGTGAATGCCATAATGTTGCCTTTTTCAACACAATCAACACATGCATCACATACGAAACCCGCAAATTCTTTACATAAAATTAAAACAGCATGCAATAGTCCTCAGAGAACGTGTCATTTTTCGTCTTTAAATTAACCGGCGTCCAATGAAAACTTATTAAGTAAAATATTTCACTTTCGTATACTTAAACTTGTGATTCATATTAAATATTATAACTATTCCACATTTTAAACAATTAGTGTAATAATACATTATCATAAGTGTTTTTTGAAAATAATAACATCAAGTTGAACAGTCAGTTGACAAAGATGACCTGCAGCAGGAGGAGTCACCATGGCTTTACATTCAACCAATCACCATGAGGTATAGCATGGTCCCATTTTTATTGGCCGTTGTCACATAGATTGTCTTTTCTCTGAGAAGCTCCCTTTTTCATGGAATGTTATAGCAGTTCTATAGAAACAGTAATTGAAAGTAAAACAGAAAAAAAGGCTATTATTTTGACAAATATGTCCCTTTCTTATCATAAAGTGAAATTCAGTTGGCAAAACCAGGAAATATTGTGCCATTCAACAAAAGTCCTCAAACATGTTGTCTATTTGTGAAGTTTAAAATGTTTTCCCCCAGCCTGTCAACTGTCGACAGTACGTCACTAGAGATGGCAGCGTCAACATCAACAGTACCTCAGACCCAGAATCACAAAATGGCTTCATGGCGTTTGCTTGTATTGGCTCTTATTTACGCCAATATCCGTAACACTGTAAATAAGTCAAAAGAACCACGTCCATCTTACATTAAAGAAAATATTATCCCTTAAGCTTCACACATTCCTATGTGTATGACTTTACTTTCTTAACTTTGGTATTGAGGTTTGGTCTTGTAAAAAATATGTATGTTGCTTGTACAGTACAGTAGCAATACTTCCAAAGGACATACTGGTAGCTAGGGGTTTAGCCCCCCCCCCCCCCCCCCCCTCCCCTCCCATCCCAACCCTCAATAACAGGGTTCCGAACATAGACATAGAATTTATAGAATTCATTCTAATTCTATGGTTCCAACCAAGGAGCAGCAGACTGATGCACAGAAGTGATGTGAATAATAGACAACCAACCTGCCCTTTATCTAAGGCTGTATCAAGTGACACCCTATTCTCCATGTAGTGCACTACTTTTGGCACAATATTCCCCATATAGTGCACTACATTTGGCACCATATTCCCCATATAGTGCACTACTTTCAACAGACATGTAGTGCAGTGCACTACCTTTAAACCTCCACTATGGAATAGGGTGCCATTTGAGACTTGCCCCTTAGTCTTTAGTGTGGGCTGTAGTTATGACAACACGTCCAAGACACAACACAGCTTTTTTAATCAATCAACCAATCGAAAAACGCTGAGATCCGAGAAGAACCCTTCCCTCTCTTCCTCTTCCTCTCTCCTTCCATCCTTCCCTCAATCACTCCTCACACACGGACTCCCCCAGGTCCACAGCTCCCCCTCTGGTCAGCCGCCGCATCTTGCTGAAGTCGTGGTCCGTGCGGAGGTAGGAGAGAGAGGGGCCTCCTTCGCTGTGGCTGGCCAGGTCCTTAGGCTGTGCCTGGGGGGGAAGGGCCCTCATTTCCCCCCCGGACCTCCAGTAGAGGGTTGTAGTCCTGGGGCTCGGAAACGCCGAAGGTGGAGGCACAGAGCTGGGCCAGGGCCTCACTGCTCTCGCCGGCTCTCCACTGCAGCGTCCGCACAGCACTGCGCTCGCCGTCCTGGAACAGTATCCGAACGCACCTCTGCACACACACAGGCAGAAACACACACACACACGTAGAAGCAGACACACACATACGTACAAGCACCCCCCCCCCACACACACAAATACGCACACACACAAAATGAGTTATAAAATGTATCATCTTATTAACTCACATAAACAGCCTTTATAACACAGCCCTCAGAAAGCACACAAAGATCAGAGGTTCAAAATAACAGATTGTCTTCCATTCATTTGAACCAAACTAACTCAACACTGTTTGTTAACACAGCTTTACATACTGTAGGCTATATACCATAAATCCTCATTCCTCAATATAAATCAATACCAACCAACTCTCAAAATAGCCTACATTGCATAGAGTCTTCACTGTTTATTCAACAGTATTCATAGACATGTATAGTCTTTATATTTTAACAAATTCTCTACTTTTATATCTTTACGTTAAACACACCCACTTTAAACACAAATACTTTAAACACACACACTGTAAACATACATATAACCAGCTCCATTAAATCATACTGTCCCTTCATCTTGACAAAAATAATCCATACATTTACACATAACTAGTATACATGAAAGTACAACAATATACATCTCCACTAAATGGAAATACAGCATACCATAATACACATAACACTGTCTGAATGTTCTGTACTGTTCAAATGTATTACATAATTGGAGAACCACCTACAGTACCAGCTCCATTTAACGCACACACGCACACCTGATACATCCCCCAGCAACACATTTCCCATGAACCTCTATTATAACCACATCATTAAACAACATTAAAAAGCAGCAACTTACAGAGTCACTGAGCTCCTCGCTGTCCGTGTGCATATTGTGTTTGCTATCTTCAGTGGGTTTCTGCTGCTCAGTAAATTTCATGTTATCTGACCGCCCACTTCTTCATAGCACTTAGCTAGCTCACTGATCTCCCTCAGTGGCAGAACTGCAAATCTGTTGGCGTGTGTTTGTGTTATAGCTATTTGAATAGAGTGAGCAGCCCACGTGACTGAATAGCTAACCACAGTATTTGTACCATTTCATCTGATGAATGGTTGTCATCATTTGCGGACGCATCAAATACTAGGAGAATGGTGTGTGTGAGTGTGTTAGAACTAGCTGCTAATTGAAGGGAGTGAGTATACCACACGTCATTAACAAGCTATCCACCATACTATGTTTACTGGTGGTCAGGATTTGGGGAATAACAAGCACGAGGAGGGTGCGCCTGTCTGGAGTGCTAGATGGGCGGGGTTTGTTCTTTTGAGACTATTCCATTGGTTCCATTGCACCAGGCATCACAATCCAGCACAGCTAAAGTATTTGAAGGAAAATGAATTCTATTTGAACCCAGGTCTGGTGTTAAGTAGAGGACTGGCCACCCCTCAAAGCCTGGTTCCTCCTGGGTTTCTTCCTGCCTCCTAGGGTGTTTTTCCTAGCTACTGTGCTTCTGCATTGCTTGCTCTTTGGGGTTTTATGCTGTGTATCTTAGGGTTACTTGCGTAACCCCGGTTCTATGATAATATCAGTGATGTCTCACAATGGGATTCGCTCAGCGGATCACGTCTGATTGGAGACAGACAGGTCGAATGACGAATGAGGTGAGCCCCTCTCCTCATAAGGCGCCACTCGCCCGGCCACTGGTCCATTCTCAAGCATGCCGCTCTTTCTTGCACTCTTGCGAGCAGGGAAATGCGGTGAGACACCTCAATCATATTATCATAGAACCGGGGTTACACAAGTAGGTCCTATTTCAAATACTTGTTTCGATGTCTCACAATGGGATACATATGGCCAACTCCAGTATCCGAAGCCAGGGTAGTCCCAACAGCATCACCCTTCAGAGGATCCGACACTGAGGAAGTATGCACCAACAAAGGCACAGTGACATCCAGCCGGTAAAAACCTCCTAAACATATGAGGGGTGGCCCAGCATGCGTTACGCAAATTTCCTGTAAAGAAATGCCTCATTTTCCAATACAATAGGGATAGCTGTTAACGAGATAGGGGCCCCCTCCTTGCAGGGAGGCTCCCAAGAAACAAAGAGGTGTGGTAGCTCTTACACAACACTCTCGCTTTATCCAAGCAAATGCGCAACGCACATACTGGACACAAACAGTGGAGACGCTCTTCTTCCGTATACGGGAAGAGCAGCAGGTGGAAACCACAAGCTCTAAGGCAAGACAACCACAGCTGCCGCTGACCTTACGCATAAAGGCGGGTTTGGGGAGGAGAACCCTGGGGCAAACTGTAGGCACGAATGGTGGACTGACACAGCATGCAGCCCACTTACTCGTTTTGCAGACATAAGGGCAGATGGTAAAGTGTTTAGAAGAGGTTTATTACATCTCAACGCTTTCCCGCGGCTCAAGAGGCTGCCGTGAGGAAGCCTCATGCACAATAGACAGGTCCCAAGATGGGGCTAAAGGCTTGGAGACCGAATGTAAGCGACGCGCACCCTTCATCAACGACATAACAGAGGGTGTTCCCCTATGTGTAACTGTCAAGGTCTGTATGACAGGCTGAGATAGAGGCTAAACAGACCTTTGGAGATCTTCACGCTGTCCAAAAAGGTCCTGCAATGAAGAATAGAAACCTTGGATACAGAGCTTTAAAGGAAATATCTGTGTAGGTCACAGCACTTCTCAAAAACGCAACCGCCTGTTTTTCCAAACAGTGAGCATGTAGAAGGGGCACTGGCACTCTGGATCGTCAATAATCTTGAGTGGCAGGCCTGTCGCATTCAGATTCATGGCAAATCTTACTGTACGCTTGGGTCAGAAGATCCCTGTGTAATGGTGGCTACCAGGACTGGTTGTGAAGCAGGAGAGTGATCTCTGCTAACCAGGGCGTCCCTGGTCATCGAGGGGCTCGAAGATGAGGGATAAGCCTGTTATCTCACTCTACTTATCAGAGTGGAGGGTGCCAGGCATAGGGGAGAAAAGAGCGTAGGGCATCACCCTTGACAGGGTGTGCCAGTGCTTCCACCCCTAGTGGTGCGTTTATCACCATGCAGGGATGGAGTCTGGATAGATGCGGAAAGCAGGCTGGTCAGCACGCGCGGAATGCGCACCCCAGGGCGTGACAATGCTGCGGTTGCGCATTGCGAGGTATCTCGCAGTTAACTGGGATACCTCGCAATGTGTCTGAGGCATATGAGCATAGTGTTTTCCAGCATATGCTATACCGTGTCACAGAGCGGGGCTTTGCGCGAAAGAGCATCTGGTGGAATGACGTAAACCGCCAAACGGTGGAGTTAAAAAGAAGAAGGAAACATGCTGGTTACTCAGATGTCCTAACCCTAAGCAGTAGAGCAGCTATGTGTCTGGTCTGTCTTGGCACTACCCCGGAGGGGAGGGTTATCATGAGCGAAAGTATCCCCAGCTGCTCTCTTCTGAAAAGGGGAAGTAGAGCAGACAAATTCCTGACTGTGCGAACCAAAAACGGGGTATAAAAAGGAGGAAAAAACTCTGCAGCGTAGTGGACTTGGGCATACCTGATAGCTGTCTGGAGCTCCGACGCCCCCCTTCTTTTATTTTTCCTCGGACCTGAAAGTAGAAGTAAGGAAATACTGTACTGACTGTCCTCTAGCTCGATAGTAAGGTTTTCTATCAATTGGGCTGAGTTGCCAATATTCCCCAAAAAGAGGCGGAACCTTGTTGTGGCCGCAGCAAAGGACTGTTTACCTTCAGGTTTGGTCTGGTTCAAGGGCTTAACCTGGGTATTGGCAGTCTGCTGTGTCGCAGGGGGTTTTGGTCCCCTAAGGCCAGCGCATTGCCCCTTCCCCACTGTGAGGCTGGGGCGGGTTGCAGTGACCAATGGGCTGCCACTGGGCCTGGGTTTGTGGGGCAGGCAGAAGTTGAAGGCTGGTTGCGACAGAGGGCCCGAAAAACGTATTGGTGTCACAGGAGGTTCACTTTCTCTTTGTCTGTTAAGCTGGACAAGTTTAACCAAAGTGCCCTTTCTCCCACCACCACCAGGCTCATGATACGACCACAGCCTTGGATGGCAATACGGGAGGCGCGTAGGTTTAGATCTGTAATCATACACATCTCATCTCAAGGATCCAAATCCAGTTGCTTCCCCACCTCCTCCAGTAACTCTGCATGGTAGGCCATCAATAAAGAGGTCACGTTGAGTGCTCTGATTGATAGGGCTGAGGTTTTGTACATCTTAGGGAAAATACAGGCGGAAAAGTGCTCCGTCTTTCCAAGGAGGGAAGTACCAGTATAGTGCTAGTAGCACGACGTGTGGGGTGGAGGTAATCAGCCAGTGACGGCTCCACCATGGGAGTGTTGCAAAATCCAGATTCCTCCATATTGTGCATGTCCAGGCTAGGGGAGCTCCTAGTCAGGATCTTGCTGGTAAGGGGCTTGTCCCATAAGCTCCTAGCCTCCCTGAGGCAAGCTGGGACCGCAGGAAGCAGTTGTTTAACGGGGCCATGCGGGATGGTTCGTACAGATCCCTTCCGGGGTCATGGCCCCCCAAGGGAGTTGGCCACTCGATGCCAAGTCTGGCCATGGCTCACTTGCAAATGCTAAAGGAGCCCAAACTCCATGTGAGGGAGATTTGCGGCTCTTCCGTCCTGGGGCCAGGGAGACCTACGGACTTGAGAGTGGGAAACAGTGGTGTCGTCACCCTCAATCTCAGTCTCAAAGTCGAGGAGACCCAAGAGATTAATCCTGACGTCATCCCCTAGCTTGCCTTCCCGACACCATATCGTCAGACAGTGAGGGGCTCGCCTCAGCTTGGCTCGGTTACGGGGGGCTGAGCCTCAACCTCGGTCGGTGGCTGCGAGGTGAGGGAGGGGGTAGTGATAACGTAGCATTTTAGCCTCCACCTGATACCCGCTCTAGTCAGCAATTTACAATGATTACAGGACTCGGGGTTGTCGAGTGCTTCCTGAGCATGTTCCCTTCCCAGGCAATTGATAAATAGAAGGTGAAAATCCTTTTCTGCAATCATGGAGCCGCAAGCGCAAGAAAGTGGGGGTTTGAGTGTTTGGCTCAGCTAGCCTTGGGATGGGGCAGCAGTAGCCATTGTATAGAACAGGGATAGCTGATGCAGAGACACCTGTTGTAAAAACAACATGTAAGCCCTGGGCTTTTGATAGGCATAAGCTAGCTAGTAGAAGCCTCGTGGATAATGCTGGGTATGGTGTGCACAGTGAAAACGCTTACAGCCGCGAAGCTAGTAGACTTGGGCAGTATCCAGATTCTCATATCTTCATACAGTCTTTCTCTCATCCCGGAATTTAAGGTGTTACCGGCATATCACACAAGGGGGCGCTAAAAACACAAGAAAAGCCCATTGGGTCTCTATTACCAGAATGCTAACAAAATTTGCACAAACTAATAGCGAAATCACTCAACTCTAACAAGCGATAACGAACATAAATGAATTGCAAAGACAACTAAATCCAGCTCATAAAGTTATGCAAGCATAGCTAACGAATGTGATTTTCAGTGAGTGTGGACACATAAAAGTGAAAGTGAACAAGAGAAATTGTGCAAAGGAACAAAGTTGTGATGCATGCTTTTCTGAAGGAAGAGCAGGATGTGTACACGGAGCAGAGGGGAGAAGAATGGAAGAGAAAAAAAAACGCTAGTAGGAAGCACAGGGAAAAAATGGCAGCTGTACAGATATCTAATCTAGAGCTCTTTGACTTCTGTCAGAAAGCCATTATAAGATATCTGATGGCAAACATTTAGTAGTGAATTCTATAGAACACTCTAGATATAGAACACTATGGGCTCACCGGCTCCCTCTTTCTCCTGTTGTGCTGTTTACAAACAAACAAGTGGCTGGCTCAACCTTTCTGGGGAACTACGGTAAGCTTCATAATGTATAATAATGTGACAGATGAAATAAAGATCGCAATCTGCTTTATCTCCTAACGTTATTGCACAAGTTGACTGCAGGTATTAACTTAAAAGTAGCTACAAATATTCACATTTATTAAAAAACTTTAAAGAAATAGTTTTGACGGTATTGAAAAACTATCTCGTGGCTTTTTCCAAATACCCCGGTATACAGTATATACGGTATACCACCCAAGCCTAGAGGCAATAATGCTAGCTAGCAGCTACCTCGTGGCTAAGGCATGCTATAGCTAGCACAGTGCTACCCGGAGGGAACCACGTGGAGGGCAGTTAGAGCCGTGAGGCTAACCAGTCGGTCTAGTTAACATAAACAAGTAAACCAAGGTTAAACTAGACTAGAGAAGGGAGCTAGCAATATTACCGTGTTGTAGGTAGTAATACTGGTGTGGTTAGCTTGCTTTCCAGCGAGATAACCAGGCAGTGTTGCCAACTCCTCAGTAAGAAAAGTAGCTATTGGCTGTCTTAAAAGTCGCTAGAAGTCGCTAAATGACATCATCACCTAATTTGCATAATTGGCCAGATGCATGTAATTGTGATGGACGCTGTAGGAGAGAGGAATAACGTCGTGGGAGAGACAAAAAGTGAGTAAAAAACACCCTACATTTACATCCCGCCCTGAATGTAAGCCAGGGCGGGATCAGCCAGCGGCGGCTTCCCACATGCGTGATTAATTTCCAGTCTGGACGCGGAGGGGTGAACATCCCCTGCTCTGACTGCAGCTGGGAGGGACTGCTGCGCGAGGACTGGGCCGCCTGTGAGTGCTTTGGGACGGGGGTGGGGCCCGGGTGGGGCTTACGGCAGCACCCGCTGCTCGTTGAGAAGAGTAAGAACGATACGTGCTTTCACGTCAGAGTCTCCAAAAGTCTCCAATAACACCAGAAAAAGTCACTAGTCGCTTTTTTGAAAATGTGTCGCTAGAGGGGTCTGAAAACTCGCTGAATATAGCGACAAAGTCGCTAAATTGGTAACACTGTAACCAGGTTAGCTTAAGCCTTGTGGCGTGAGCTAGCCCTTTGTTAGTGTGGTTAGCTAGCTTTCCAGCTAGCTAGCCAAGTTAGCTAAAGTCTTGCGGCGTAGCTAGCTGTGTGACGTTAGCTACCACCGGAGACTGATGAGTAGAAAATGTATTCTACTCGAAGCAAAACTTTCCTTACGGTCAGTACCCAACACTATCGACAGGAGCTGATCGTCCTACATTCGGCAGTGTTAACCTCACGGTTTGCCTGAGAACAGTTCAGTAGTAAGACAGGGATCTAGTCGTGCTGAGGTTAGTGATCGCTTCCGTAAGGAAGAGAGGCGAGAATAACCAGTGGGTGGTGTCTCCAACAGACGTGATCCACTGAGACAATCCCATTGTGAGATATCGAAACAAGTATTTGAAATAGAACTGTAAATAGCTTTGTGACAACTGCTGTTGTGAAAAGAGCTTTATAAAATAACATTGATTGATTGATTGAAGTAGTGTCTTACCTGGTTCTGTTGTCTCTCCTGGTGGCTCTTGGCTTCCAGGCTGCGTCTGCGGCCCCACTCCCTCAGCCCATCCTGTGCCTCACGAGTCAGACCTCCTGGGGGGACTTGGTCCCCCTCCGCCTCCGGGCTCTGGATCAAACACAGGCTGGCATAGACGCTGGTCAGGTAGTACCCACCTAGGAGACGGGATCGGGGCACAGAGCACAGCAAAATGTCAATACAGTGACTTTGAATGGCATCTAAATATCCATTCACCCACAGATATCTTCATTATCCCCCATGTTCTTTTAAAGGTGGAGGGGTGTATGAGGGAAAGGGTTATAGTGGGTGTAGTAGTTCATAGTGGGTGTAGTTCATAGTGGGTGTAGTTCATAGTGGGTGTAGTTCATAGTGGTACCCTCTCCTTTGGGGTAGAAGTAAGGTGTGTGGTAACACTTTATTTTAATGGTCCGTAATAAACCATTTATTAATCATTACTCCCACATTTATAAACCATTTACTAATCAAAGTAAAGTATTTTTGCAGTCCCTAATCTAAAGTGAGCGCTATTTAACCTTAACCCTTACCTAACCTTAACACTAAATGGTGTGCAATGTTTTTGTAAATGCCTTATGAATGGTTTATAATGAAGTGTTACAATAAAGTGTAACCAGGTGTGTATTGTGGGGTGTACTGTATTAAGGGTTGTAGTAAGTGTGTAGTCTGACCATCTCCCCTAGGGGTGTAGTTAGAGGTATAGGTGTGTTAAAGTTGGACGGGGTATAGGTGTAGTAGGGGTGTAGTGCGTACCCTCCCCAGTGAGCCAGGAGGGCTCCAGCAGCTCCATCATGTACTCCACCTCCAGTAGGATCTGAGGTGTGTTACACATCACTATCACATAAGACAGCGCCGGCAGGAAGTCCGCCGAGCTCACTTCCTGTCCTGGTAGCAGGAAGAGGATGGCAAGACAGATTTAACAGTTAATTGATTATTACATTGGATAACAGCTCCTAGTTTATAACAGGCAAATAAATTGTGTTATTAAAATGTTTATATTTATAATAGATAATGACTCATTTTGGCTACTTTATATTAAATTAAATCAAGCAAAGTGAAGGCCCACTCACCACCTTCGTGGAGGGCCCCCATGGCTTTCTGGACCGCCTTGCACATCTGCAGAAGCAGCAGCATCTTGTCTATGGGCGAGTGGGTGCGCTGCATGAGCGCCAGCTTCTGCCTCACCCTCTCCACGCCACGGGTGTCAGGCACGCCCACAAGCACCCCAAGGCGCTCCATTGCCCCCTCTTGGCAGTCCAGGAGACTGCAGGCCAGGCGCTGGGTGGAGCCGTCCTGTCTGTGGAGGGAGAGGAGGGCCTGGCCAAGCAGCACCTTCAGAGGCTTCAGCACACAGCCAAACATGGCCTTCTCCAGGGCTAAGTCTGCATGGGGGAACACACACCCATACGTCGGTATGCACGCACACACAGACGTACGCATGAACATGCACCAACAAACGCGCACGCAAGTGCACATGCACACACACACTGAGCACAAACTCTTATCTCAAACATCTCAAAGTACCAGTTATATATAAACATACCCCTACACACAACACACACCAACCACTTCTTTACTTAGGAAAATATTCTTAATTACTGAGGAACTGGGGGATGTGGCGGTATACAGGCCTGACTGACTGGGCTGACATTGTCGATTTTGCAGGTTTTCCTACTTACAAAGCATGTAGAGGTCTGTCATTTTTATCATAGGTACACTTCAACTGTGAGAGACGGAATCTAAAACAAAAATCCAGAAAATCACATTGTATGATTTTTAAGTAATTAATTTGCATTTCATTGCATGACATAAATATTTGATACATCAGAAAAGCAGAACTTAATACAGTGGGGGAAAAAAGTATTTAGTCAGCCACCAATTGTGCATGTTCTCCCACTTAAAAAGATGAGAGAGGCCTGTAATTTTCATCATAGGTACACGTCAACTATGACAGACAAAATGAGAAAAAAAAATCCAGAAAATCACATTGTTGGATTTTTAATGAATTTATTTGCAAATTATGGTGGAAAATAAGTATTTGGTCAATAACAAAAGTTTCTCAATACTTTGTTATATACCCTTTGTTGGCAATGACACAGGTCAAATGTTTTCTGTAAGTCTTCACAAGGTTTTCACACACTGTTGCTGGTATTTTGGCCCATTCCTCCATGCAGATCTCCTCTAGAGCAGTGATGTTTTGGGGCTGTCGCTGGGCAACACGGACTTTCAACTCCCTCCAAAGATTTTCTATGGGGTTGAGATCTGGAGACTGGCTAGGCCACTCCAGGACCTTGAAATGCTTCTTACGAAGCCACTCCTTCGTTGCCCGGGCAGTGTGTTTGGGATCATTGTCATGCTGAAAGACCCAGCCACATTTCATCTTCAATGCCCTTGCTGATGGAAGGAGGTTTTCACTCAAAATCTCACGATACATTGCCCCATTCATTCTTTCCTTTACACGGATCAGTCGTCCTGGTCCCTTTGCAGAAAAACAGCCCCAAAGCATGATGTTTCCACCCCCATGCTTCACAGTAGGTATGGTGTTCTTTGGATGCAACTCAGCATTCTTTGTCCTCCAAACACGACGAGTTGAGTTTTTACCAAAAAGTTCTATTTTGGTTTCATCTGACCATATGACATTCTCCCAATCCTCTTCTGGATCAACCAAATGCACTCTAGCAAACTTCAGACGGGCCTGGACATGTACTGGCTTAAGCAGGGGGACACGTCTGGCACTGCAGGATTTGAGTCCCTAGTGTGTTACTGATGGTAGGCTTTGTTACTTTGGTCCCAGCTCTCTGCAGGTCATTCACTAGGTCCCCCCGTGTGGTTCTGAGATTTTTGCTCACCGTTCTTGTGATCATTTTGACCCCACGGGGTGAGATCTTGCGTGGAGCCCCAGATCAAGGGAGATTATCAGTGGTCTTGTATGTCTTCCATTTCCTAATAATTGCTCCCACAGTTGATTTCTTCAAACCAAGCTGCTTACCTATTGCAGATTCAGTCTTCCCAGCCTGGTGCAGGACTACAATTTTGTTTCTGGTGTCCTTTGACAGCTCTTTGGTCTTGGCCATAGTGGAGTTTGGAGTGTGACTGTTTGAGGTTGTGGACAGGTGTCTTTATACTGATAACAAGTTCAAACAGGTGCCATTAATACAGGTAACGAGTGGAGGACAGAGGAGCCTCTTAAAGAAGAAGTTACAGGTCTGTGAGAGCCAGAAATCTTGCTTGTTTGTAGGTGACCAAATACTTATTTTCCACCATAATTTGCAAATAAATTCATAAAAAATCTTACAATGTGATTTTCTGGATTTTCTTTTCTCATTTTGTCTGTCATAGTTGACGTGTACCTATGATGAAAATTACAGGCCTCTCTCATCTTTTTAAGTGGGAGAACTTGCACAATTGGTGGCTGACTAAATACTTTTTTTCCCCACTGTATTTGGTACAGAAACCTTTGCAATTACAGAGATCATACGTTTCCTGTAGGTCTTGACCAGGTTTGCACACACTGCAGCAGGGATTTTGGCCCACTCCTCCATACAGACCTTCTCCAGATCCTTCAGGTTTCGGGGCTGTCGCTGGGCAATATGGACTTTCAGCTCCCTCCAAAGATGTTCTATTGGGTTCAGGTCTGGAGACTGGCTAGGCAACTCCAGGACCTTTAGATGCTTCTTACGGAGCCACTCCTTAGTTGCCCTGGCTGTGTGTTTCGGGTCGTTGTCATCCTGGAAGACCCAGCCACGACCCATCTTCAATGCTGTTACTGAGGGAAGGAGGTTGTTGGCCAAGATCTCGCGATACATGGCCCCATCCATCCTCCCCTCAATACGGTGCAGTCGTCCTGTCCCCTTTGCAGAAAAGCATCCCCAAGGAATGATGTTTCCACCTCCATGCTCCACGGTTGGGATGGTGTTCTTGGGGTTGTACTCATCCTTCTTCTTCCTCCAAACACGGCGAGTGGAGTTTAGACCAAAAAGCTCTATTTTTGTCTCATCAGACCACATGACCTTCTCCCATCCCTCCTCTGGATCATCCAGATGGTCATTGGCAAGCTTCAGACAGGCCTGGACATGCGCTGGCTTGAGCAGGGGGACCTTGCGTGCGCTGCAGGATTTTAATCCATGGCGGCGTAGTGTGTTACTAATGGTTTTCTTTGAGACTGTGGTCCCAGCTCTCTTTAGGTCATTGACCAGGTCCTGCCGTGTAGTTCTGGGCTGATCTCTCACCTTCCTCATGATCATTGATGCCCCACGAGGTGAGGTGCATGGAGCCCCAGACCGAGGGTGATTGACCGTCATCTTGAACTTCTTCCATTTTCTAATAATTGCGCCAACAGTTGTTGCCTTCTCACCAAGCTGCTTGCCTATTGTCCTGTAGCCCATCCCAGCCTTGTGCAGGTCTACAATTTTATCCCTGATGTCCTTACACAGCTCTCTGGTCTTGGCCATTGTGGAGAGGTTGGAGTCTGTTTGATTGTGTGTGGACAGGTGTCTTTTATACAGGTAACAAGTTCAAACAGGTGCAGTTAATACAGGTAATGAGTGGAAAACAGGAGGGCTTCTTAAAGAAAAACTAACAGGTCTGTGAGAGACGGAATTCTTACTGGTTGGTAGGTGATCAAATACTTATGTCATGCAATAAAATGCAAATTAATTACTTAAAAATCATACAATGTGATTTTCTGGATTTTTGTTTTAGATTCCGTCTCTCACAGTTGAAGTGTACCTATGATAAAAATTACAGACCTCTACATGCTTTGTAAGTGGGAAAACCTGCAAAATCGGCAGTGTATCAAATACTTGTTCTCCCCACTGTACATCAATACCCAGCCCCCATCTTCCCTCTTTCTCTTCCTCCCTTTCTCTCTCTCTACCTTTCTGTTCCTCTCCCCCTCTCTGCCTCTATCTCCCTCCCTCCTGAGCCACTGAGAATCGTGCTGCTCTTCAAGTGCGCGTGGGACTGTGATATCTTTTTATGATAAATGATGAGTGAGAAAAAAATGCAAATGCCTCCACCGACGCAATGTGTGTGTGTGCGCAAATCGAAGCAATGGTGAACTGAATTCAGCGGAGTCCGCTCCACTCTCTCCAAAAGCCTCAACACTCACTGCTCAACCAGGCAACAGTGTATCATCACACACACACACACCAACCATAGTCTCCCCCCTGAAATCTCAATGAACGTATGCCCTATATCTCCTATCCAGCAACATACAGAGCTCTTTGGCTGGCTCAATGTGATAGATAGGGTTCTCTGTCTTGGCTAGCAAAGCTTTTTACATCCTAGTGACAATATGAACTCCACTGGATGAAGAGCTACCCCTACGCACTAGCATGGTGGTGATAACACCTTTTCACTAAAATCCTCTGGACAGTCTACTCCACATCTTACTAAAGCATGGCGGTCTGTTGTTTCCATAGACAGAATTATCTCTCTGCCACTGTCTCCTCTGTGTAATGGTGGGTTTACTGTGCATTATTATATATCCTGTAAATCCAATGGATAGTATCTAATTGACATGCTGCTTACATCTAATAACATTTGTGTTTTTGTCATCTGTTATGTGACCCCTCTGTACCTCTCTCAATCTCATGATTACCAAAGTAGTGGTTGGTACTTAGACAACTAAAGTCGAAAAGGTACCTTTCTCATTGTCAGGCACCAGGGTCTCTAGGGGGGGTGACAGCTCTCCGCTGTCCAGCAGGAAACAATTGGCCTGGGAGAGGAAGCGCCGCAGCCCCTGGAGCACCCCCACGGATGTAGTCGATGAGAAAGACGATGATGAGGAGGCAGCCTGGGCCAGGACCTCTCTCAGCTCCTCTTTCTGTCTCTGGATGAACTCCTGGACCAGGGAACCAAACACAGACCTCCAGAGACAGAGAGAGAGAGATAGTTTATACCAAAAACGTTATGATGCATTTACACGATGCTACACAATTCCACAGCAGTTCTATCGACCAATAGCACTGAATTCTCTGAATTTTTAACAATGCGATGTAAATGAATGTCTAGAATTCGAACAAGATTCCAAATACTCATCATGAATAAACAAATTGAATGCTCAAAGGTGCTAACATGGCGACCAGACAATGTAAAAGTTGGCCAAAGTCTCTATATGTTTATAAATGGCTCTGCCGACCTCCGGTCCCTGGACAGCTCCTCCACCAGCCTGGCGAGCCTCTTCTCTGGAGCGAAGAAACACACAAACGCTGCACTCATCCTGTGCAGGCCTCCGTGGCCCCCCCGTGAGCGCACCATGGGCGGGCGGCACTGGGGGTTGGGGTTTAGTTGTTTAAAGAACTGGTCCTCTGGTTCAGGTTCCTCTTCCTCCAGGCTGCTGAAGGAGCTGCTGCTGTCCAGTTCGGCCAGAGAGGGGGCCGGGCGGCCCTCCAAGGCCTGGCACGCCTCCTCGATGCTGGGCTCCTCTGGAGCAGGAGGGTCCTCCTCTACCTCCACCACCGGAGGTTCTGTTGGAGCCTGGGGAGATGGCGTCATGGTCATATCTTTATACGATGCATCAATTTGTCAGCGTGATGAGTGTGTGAATGTAAGTTTGTGTCAATGCAGGAGAAAAAGAGAGAGAGAGAGACGAAAGAAAATAGATAACGGAAGACAGAGGAATATTGAAAGAAAGAGAGACATATCTCATAAAGTTACCTTTACCGGTGGCGGTACATTTATTGGCACGAGATCCTCATCCTCGGCCGACGTCGGGGACAGTGCAGGGGTCCTCCTCAGGACACCAGCCCCAGGATGGACCTTCCTGTGTGGGTTGGGACTGGGCTGGAGGGGGGTGGGCTGGAGCCTCTCCTGGTCCTGGGGGTCCTCTGGGACCGAGGAAGGGAACGAGCCAGCCCCCCCACCACCACCACCACCAGACAGAGTCATGGAGCTCTCGGTGGAGACACGGACCCTCATACTGCGTTTGAAGCGGTGGCGTTTGTGTGACGCCCCCTGGGTCGACTGCTGCTGCGGCTGCTGCTGCTGCTGGGGGAGAGAAAGGAGGTAGAGGTAGAAGTTAGACATAATCACTGATTCAGGATCAGATCTTTGTTCACTCTCCTAATGGTTATGGTTAGGATTGGGGGTAGGGGTAAACTGATCCTAGATCTGTGGTTAAAGGTCGACTCTGCAAGATGACACCATCCTAAACAATGGGATGGCTGACTTTCCACTTACAGCCATTTGTTATCTATTAGTTTGAACCTCGAGCTGGAGGAAGGCAAGTAAATTGATTCAGGGTCAGAAATAATTTTCATCCCCCCAATGGTTATGTTTAGGAATTACCTCCAGCTGTAGGAAGAGTGGGTTGATGAAGCAGAGAGACTCCTGTCTGCCGCAGGACAGCAGGTAACACAGGTCCTGGGACAGACCTGCCTTGACCTGGGTGGCACTGATGGGTGGAGCCTTGGTGGTGCTGGGCGGGGCCTTAATGATGGTGGGTGGAGCCTGCAGGTCCCCTGGTCCATTCTGGGTGTCAGACAGCGAACACCAGAACTCTGTCGGGATGTGGGGAAAACAAGGAGTAGAAAGTCCAGATTCAGGTACTGAACATTTCCATAGTTCAGTGTTCAGAGGATAGGTAATTGATTAACGCCATAAAGAGATTGATATTGAAGTGCTTTGAAGACCATACCCTACTGTGCTGAACATTTAGACCCAGTCCAGAAAACAGCCCCTAGACACTTGTGTAGATCTGAATGAATTGGATAGGTATATGTTTAATCCAATGGCGAATGTAATGCTATGCTATAGATCCGTTGAATGAATCCCTACCTAATCCCATATGAGAGATGGCCTCCAGCTTTCTGTGGGAAGAGGCCTGAGCAATGGCTTCTGGGAGCTCCAAAGGGAAAGGCAGCACATCCCTGGAGACAACACACACATAGGTCCTTAGGATCAAATTATATGGTGGTTCCCAAGACATAGTGGGCTAGAACAGCATGCGGGTGCCCTGTTTTGTAATGGGAGTGCCATTACAGAGTATTTATCGTCTGTCGATAAAACAGACCAAAGCAGTGGCAGTGTTATTGACAGGTAGACGGGTTTAAAGTTAGTGTTAATCACCTGCTGATGCAGTAGAAGGCCACCAATCGGCAGAGGTCTGGGAAGCTGAGGGCGGAGCTCTCCAGGGCAAAGGCTGGTGATAGGACAGAACGTTTTAAACCAATCACAGCTTTGTAACATTTGGCAGCATTCTTCATTGTTCAAGTGTTTCATTGTTAGTTTAGAGCAGGGTTTCTGAACTCCAGTCCTCGAGGACCCCCAACAGTACACATGTTTACTGTAGCCCCGGACAAGCCCTTGATGAGTTGAATCAGGTGTGTTTGTCCTGGGCTAAAACAAAAAATGTGTGCTGTTAAGAGTACTTCAGGACCGGAGTTTAGAACCACTGGATTAGAGTGTATGTGTGTATTTACTTTGATGTACACAAGTATGTGTCTGGTACTCACTTGAGTCCTCTTCACAAATGAGACACTCCTTGATGGAAGACGCTGCTCTGTCAGCTGTCACTCTGACACACAACATCTTCCTCTGGCTCGAGCTGCATTTACGCACCAGGAACGTCTACAGGGGCCATCCATAAACATTGGCAACGAGAACAATAATGATGTACCTAATCAAAACGCCTTTATTTGTATGGCATGTTCAATGGAAACAAAGATTTTAAAACTCCCAACGCATTTCGGTTGCATGGAGTTAAATTTTTGTTTCCATTGAACATGCCATACAAATAAAGACATTTTAATTAATTATATGAAGAGTGCCTTGGTCCTCCTTTCTTTTGATGACCAATTTACGATTTGTAACAAAGAGCACCTTCTGTTTCCAAAGACCTACTATTGTGTACCTTAGCAACGCTTCCCTTCCTTCTTTTTTCAACAAATAATGATGTACCGTTAAACAAGTACTGTTGTAAATGTTCGATAAGAGCTGTCAATAGTACAGTGCATTCGGAAAGTATTCAGACCCCTTTACTTTTTCCACATTTTGTTATGTTACAGCCTTATTCTAAAATTGATTAAATCGTTTTTTTCTCCTCATCAATCTACATACAATACACCATAATGACAAAGAAAAAACCGGAAATATCACATTTACATAAGTATTCAGACCCTTTACTCAGTACTTTGTTGAAGCACCTTTGGCTGCGTTTAAAGCCTTGAGTCTTCTTGGGTATGACGCTACAAGCTTGGCACACCTGTATTTGGGGAGTTTCTCCCATTCTTCTCTGCAGATCCTCTCAAGCTCTGTTAGGTTAGATGGGGAGAGTTTGCTGCACAGCTATTTTCAGGTATGTTCGATCGGGTTCAAGTCTGGGCTCTGGCTGGGCCACTCAAGGACATTGAGACTTGTCCCGAAGCCACTCCTGCGTTGTCTTGGCTGTGTGCTTAGTTGTCCTTTTGGAAGATGAACCTTCACCCCAGTCTGAGGTTCTGAGCGCTCTGGAGCAGGTTTTCATCAAGGATCTCTCTGTACTTTGCTCCGTTCATCTTTCCCGTGATCCTGACTAGTCTCCCAGTCCCTGCCGCTGAAAAACATCCCCACAGCATGATGCTGCCACCACCATGCTTCACCATAGGGATGGTGCTAGGTTTCTTCCAGACGTGACGCTTGGCATTCAGCATTTATTCACCATAAAGGCCTGATTTGTGGAGTGCTGCAGAGATAGTTGTCCTTCTGGAAGGTTCTCCCATCTCCACAGAGGAACTCTGGAGCTCTGTCAGAGTGACCATCGGGTTCTTGGTCACCTCCCTGACCAAGGCCCTTCTCCCCCGATTGCTCAGTTTGGCCGGGCGGCCAGCTCTAGGAAGAGTCTTGGTGGTTCCAAACTTCTACTTAAGAATGATTGAGGCCAGTGTGTTCTTGCGGACCTTCAATGCTTCAGAATTCTTTTGGTACCCTTCCCCAGATCTGTATCTCGGCACAATCCTGTCTCGGAGCTCTATGGACAATTCCATCGACCTCATGGCTTGGTTTTTTCTCTGACATGCACTGTCATCTGTGGGACCTAATATAGACAGGTGTGTGCCTTTCCAAATCATGTCCAATCAATTGAATTTACCACAGGTGTACTCCAAATCAAGTCTGAATACTTATGTAAATAAGGTATATCTATTTTTAATTTTTAATACATTTGCAAAAACTTCTAAAAAGGTCACGTGTAGATTTATGAGGAAAAACATTATTTTAATCCATTTTAGAATAAGGCTGTAAAGTAACAAAATGTGGAAAAGGTCAAGCGGTCTCAATACTTTCCGAAGGCACTGTAAGTAAGTAACAGTAAGTCAAGGCTGAAGTTGGGTTTTATGAGGGTGCTTTGTGAACTGTACAGTAAGTTCCTGAGTATCATGTATACTACTCCATTGGAAAGCTATACTAAACAGATACAGTTCATCTGAGAGTGAGGGTTAGTTAATTAATTACTTGATGGAATAATCTGATTGGCTCTCCTCACCCCGACAGGTTCTCTGAGCAGGATGTAGAGGGCGGAGTCAGCGTTGATTGACAGCTGGAGCCAGACAGGGTGTGTGTGGAGGAGGCGGTCCAACACACTGAAACTCCTCTGGGAGCCCAGGTCCCCCTGCATCTACATAGAACACAGGAAGGGGTTAATGTATACTTAAGGCACACCTGTTATTTGAAATGCATTCCAGGTGACTACCTCATGAAGCTGGTTGAGAGAATGCCAAGAGTGTGCAAAGCTGTCATCAAGGCAAAGGGTGGCTATTTGAAGAATATGAAATATCAAATATATTAAGATTTGTTTAACACGTCTTTGGTTACTACATGATTCCATATGTGTTATTTCATAGTTTTGATGTCTTCACTATTATTCTCCAATGTAGAAAATAGTAAAAATAAAGAAAAACCCTTGAATGAGTAGGTGTTCTAAAACTTTTGACCGGTAGTGTATAACCCCCCCCCCCCCCACACACACACACACACTGAGGATACACATTCTCTCTCTTGTCTCTCTTGTTTTCCCCTCTCTCTCAGAACTGCAGGGTGGATGTCACAGTGGTGACATTGTGTGGGCTGCCGAAGAGCATTCTGAGCGTTGCAGCAGATGGTTGCCTTGGTTACCGAGGCCTACACATCCTACCAGGCATTCCCACTCAGTAACAGCACCCCTCTCTTCCAACACGCGGAGACACACACACACACACACAACACGCGCAAGCGCAGACGCACATACACACACACACACAACACTTCCAACACAAACCCCTTCAGGAGTGCAGGGAAACTACTGACAAGGTGAAGAGTCTTTGGTATATTTCTAGAAAGTATTGTGACTTTCCACTGTTGCAAGTGTATTTATACCATTTGTTTTATTGGCAATTCCTCTCTACTGGTTAACAACACAACATGGTATCCTAGAGAAAGGTGAGCTGTAGTTCTGAACAGGAAGGAGTCTTTTCTTATTGTTTTCTTTTATTACTTGGTGATAACATTAGTCAGTATAGGAGTCAGCCACGTAGGAGAAATCACTTAGAAACAAGGAGGAGGATAACACAATTATCACGTGTGTTAAAATGTTAATGTTGTCTAATTACTACATCACAGCAGATTTAACACTTCAAAACCCTTCTCGTCCTTTTGTGTGAGAGATAAAATATTTTCCAGTTCGAGTGCAGGTCTCAAATGCATTAAACGCCATTATCAGCCAGAGGCATAATTGAGAAAACTCTCAGTCTCTATATTATCATTCAATCTGAAGGGCTCGATTCCCTGGTCTTTACAAACTGATTTAACATGGTAATAGAAAACACAGGTGACACTCTATTACTAACATAAATAACCTCCCATCTCAAGTGAGTGTCGCCGACACACACAAACACACACAACACCAAATGCGAGAGATAAATCATGCTGGTTACTTCCAGGTCCCACTTACATAAGACACAACACGATGATGTGGCAAGTGACACTTTGCTCCTTGAAAATCCTATATCTTGAAAACTTGACTGCTGACATGCAAAACATTTTGGGACTCTATTATAAAAAGTTGCAAAATATATATATTTTCCTTTAAAAAGGTCAATGGCCGCCTCCCGAGTGGCGCAGCGGTCTAAGGCAGTGCTTGAGGCGTCACTACAGACCCGGGTTCGATCCCGAGTTGTGTCGCAGCCAGCCGTGACCAGGAGACTCATGAGGTGGTGCACAATTGGCCCAGCATCGTCCGGGTTAGGGGAGGGTTTGGTCGGCCGGGATGTCCTTGTCCCATCGCGCTCTAGAGACTCCTGTGGCGGGGCCGGGCGCATGCACGCTGACACGGTCTGGAGTTATACAGTGTTTCCTCTGACACATTGGTGCGGCTAGCTTCCGGGTTAAGCGAGTAGTGTGTCAAGGAGAAGTGTGGCTTGGCAGCAAGAAGCAGTATGGCTTGGCAGGGTTGTGTTTCGGAGGACGCATGGCTCTCGACCATCGCCTCTCCTGAGTCCGTACGGGAGCTGCAGCGATGGGACATGCCTAACTACCAAAAGTATATCACGAAATTGGGGTTTAAAAAATAAATTGTTAACTGCCCTTGAAAAACAAATTTTCCCATCGATATGAGTCAGAAACATTTATTCTCGTTTCAAACTTTACTACAAAGGATAATTTTGTCCAAAACTGTGTTTGGTAGCTATTGAGGCTACCTGCTACTTATTAAACAAAGTAAGATTAGTTAAACTTATTTGGAAAAGAGACACATGAACCACATGAACCCAGAATATATTTCTCCCGTGCTGTCAATCACCATTTGAAATGTTCCCTAGCTCCGCCCCCAGCCCGCCTCCAACTGACAGGGCAGCAATTTTAAATTGTCTTCACATGAAGGAGAAGAACAGCTGTCAGTGCTTTCTCATGGATAATGGCATTTTATTTGATTATATAATCATAACATTGATTTAAAATATGCTTTTCACCTGGTGGGTGACAGAGGAAGAAGATATTTTACTCAACTGCCTACAAGCAAGAGTTTTCACCGAGCTAGGTAACACAGCTAGTTAGCTAGCTAGTTCCTCTAGCTTGCCGCCACAACATGCAGTGTGACTGACCAAGGTAAGAATTATTTTGGATATTAAAGCTCTGAGTTAATGTCATGTATGTGTTAGATATAATTTAATTGCCAAATATAGCTAGTTAATGTTAAATGTTGCTTACCAAGGAATGTGTTGCTTGATGGCTAGCTAGATAGATAGATAGATAGCTTTGTAGTAAGGGCTATGTTTCTCTGACATCAATATAGCTAGAACTGGCTAGCTAGCTAAATTATTTATAGCTAAAAATAATCATATTTTTCTTTGCAGTGGATCCTTCTGGTCTGGAGCCTCAACTGCCTATGGACAGACCACAGCCAATGTAAGTTAGTCTTTTGTATCATTTAGCTAGGTAGTTCCTGAACATGAATTGCCTGGCTACCCAAACTCCTTGTTCCAGCCAAACGTTACACCACGCCCACGGACGTTAGTTTATTTTCCGCAGTGAGTCTGGATCTGAGTACATCCTCGATTTCTAGATTGGAAATCCATTCTAGACCGTCTGATTGGTCCCAGAAACTGATGGGTTGGACTAGAGCCAGAACACAGCAGCGTTTTCCAAATTTGTCATTTGCTTTGATAGGTTAGAGATGATCCAATCGCTGATGACTTTTTTTGTTCAACACCCCTCATTTTGACGTAACCACAAATTACTTCAAAGATGGCAGTTTCTGACTGAAGTATGCGAACGATAGAGCATTGGAAGAATTCCGTTTGAGTCATCAGGCAAGAACAGTAATCCCTTATTCTTCATCTTGTGTGGAATTGTTTCACTGACTATGTCTCTGCATTATCCACAGGGCAACTGCCAACTTGTGAGTCTGAAAATTGACATTGGAGGTTAAGGAATCTGCATTGTAAGTATCAATGTGATATTCATGAACATTTGTCACGACCTGATTAGGTCGGGCTACCTGATTTGGTTGAGGGTGCATTGTAGTTAAGCCTTAGCTACCCTTACTCTTTTCCTAACCTAATTCTCCTAACCGGCCACGTGAATTCACCTAACCTGGCACGTTAATTCACCCAACCTACTACGGTAATTATCCATAACCTGCCAATTTAGTTATCCTGCCACTGGGGCCCACGGAACCGTTGCTAACAGTGGAGCCCAACCAAATCAGGTAGCCCGACCTCATTAGGTGGTCACACATTAACCCCTAATTCTTCATCTTGTGTGGATTTTCTTTTCACTGACTCTGTCACATTATCCTCAGGGTTACTGTCAACTTGTTTAAAGAGCCTATTTTCAAATAGAGATGATAAGTGCACAGAGGTCATTTGTACATTATATTTTATTTTTCAGGTGCGACCTTCCAGTGACTTTCTGAGCTCACAAAGGGGAATTTATTTTCTCATTCTTAATTGTTTGTGTTGTGTGCCTTTTTACTATTGCATTTGACATGCATTTAATTACATTTCTTGCACATATATCACCATATATTATGAACTATGCATTACTCATATATATAAATATACAGTTGAAGTCGGAAGTTTACATACACTTAGGTTGGAGTCATTAAAACTCGTTTTTCAACCACTCCACAAATTTCTTGTTAACAAACTATAGTTTTGTCAAGTCGGTTAGGACATCTACTTTGTGCATGACAGAAGTAATTTTTTCCATCAATTGTTTACAGACAGATTATTTCACTTATAATTCACTGTATCACAATTCCAGTGGGTCAGAAGTTTATATACACTAAGTTGACTGTGCCTTTAAACAGCTTGGAGAATTCCAGAAAATGATGTCATGGCTTTAGAAGCTTCTGATAGGCTAATTTACATAATTTGAGTCAATTGGAGATGTACCCGTGGATGTATTTCTTGGCCTACCTTCAATCTCAGTGCCTCTTTGCTTGACATCATGGGAAAATCAAAAGAAATCAGCCAAGACCTCAGAAAAAAAATTGTAGACCTCCACAAGTCTGGTTCATCCTTGGGAGCAATTTCCAAACGCCTGAAGGTACCACGTTCATTTTTATAACAATAGTCATACCACAGATTCTCAATTGGTTGATGTCTGGGCTTTGACTAGGCCATTCCAAGATATTTAAATGTTTCCCCTTAAACCACTTGAGTGTTGCTTTAGCAGTATGCTTAGGGTCATTGTCCTGCTGGAAGGTGAACCTCAGTCCCAGTCTCAAATCTCTGGAAGACTGAAACAGGTTTCCCTCAAGAATTTCCCTGTATTTAGCGCCATCCATCATTCCTTCAATTCTGACCAGGTTCCCAGTCCCTGCCGATGAAAAACATCCCCACAGCATGATGCTGCCACCACCATGCTTCCCTGTGGGGATGGTGTTCTTGGGGTGATGAGAGGTGTTGGGTTTGCGCCAGACATAGCGTTTTCCTTGATGGCCAAAAAGCTAAATTTTAGTCTCATCTGACCAGAGTACCTTCTTCCATATGTTTGGGGAGTCTCCCACATGCTTATTTTTTTCTTTAAGCAATGGCTTTTTTCTGGCCACACTTCTGTAAA